TGATTTACCCAATGCAATACATCATTTGATTTCCTGACTCCTGATTCAGTAAGTGTTGATTGTGGATCCAAGTAAATTGAAGTCTTCGACAACTTCAGTCTTTTCTCCATTTATCATGATGTTATTTTTGGCCTAGTTGTAAGAGTTTTCATTTTCTTTACATTGAGGTCCAATCTATACTGAAGGAAGTAGTCTTTGATCTTCATCAGTATTTCAAATCCTCTTTTCTTTCAGCAAGCAAGGCTGTATCATTAATATATTGCTAGTTATTAATGAGTCTCCCTCCAATCTGATATCACCTTCTTCTTCATATAATACAGTTTCTTGGATTATTATAAGTATGGTGAAAAGATACAATCCTGGTGTACACCTTTCCTGATTCTAAAACATTCTGTATCACCTTGTTCTGTTCCTATGACTGCCTCTTGGTTTATGTACCGGTTCCTCATGAGCACAATCAAATGTTCTGGAATACCCATTCTTTGCAATGTTATCCATAGTTTGTTATGATCCACATAGCTAAATGCCTTTGTATAGTCAATCAAGTACAAGTGTGATACTGTAGGATAAACACTAGACTGCTAATCACAATGTTGGCAGTTCAAACCCACCAGCTGCTCCTTAGAAACTCTATAAGGAACTGACTCGACAGAACTTAACAACAGCTTTTTGATATTTTCTGCTTTCAGCCAACATCCTTCTGAGGTCAGCAATGATATCCCTACTATCCTTTTCTGAAAGCAGCTGGAATTTCTGGCAGCTCCCTGTTGATGTACTACAATCATTTTGAATTATCTTCAGGAAAATTTTACTTGCATGCAATGTTAAGGACGTTGTTTGATGATTTATGTGTTCTGTTAAATTACCTTCTTTGAAATGGCCACAAATATGGATCTTTTCCAATTGGTTGGCCATGTAACTGTCTTCTAAATTTCTTGACAAAGACGAGTGAGTCCCTCCAGTGCTGAATCAAATTGCTGAAACTTTTCAATTTGTATTTCGTCAATTCCTGGAGACTTGTTTACCCATGCCTTCAGTGCTGCTTGGATTTCTTCCTTCAGTGCCATCAGTTCTTGATCAAATGGTACCTATATGGGTGGATGGGGATGGGAGCCTGCCACATTTCTGGTTACCAGAGGAGTATGGGGAAAAAGAAGAAATCACATCTTTTCCATACAGGTCTGCTCTGCCTGGCCTCCCTTTGATACCAAAGATACTCACAAGATGGTGGAGTTGTGTCCAGCCAACTGGTCACTAGTCAGTCTCCCTCTCTCACAACCCCCGCTCACCATTTCCTCCCAGCAAACACTCCATCCACATCTCAACCTTTCTTCTGAAGTTCAAGGTGTCAGACTTTTCAACTGTGTTGTTTTATTTTGTCTCTTGTATCTTTATTGTAGAGGGTCCATGTAGTTTGTCTGCCTAGTCTGCCATTTTGCTGGAAGTCTGACTTTCATCATGTTATAAAACTACAGTAATTAAGACAGTGCTGCACTGGTATATGTGTAGACACACAGATCAGTGGAGTGGAAGTAAGTGTCCAGAAATAAATTCTTATATTTACTATCAGTTGACTTCCCACAAAAATGCCAAGCAATGCAATGGGGAAAAGAATGCTCCTTTCAACAAATTGTGATATGATCATTGTACCCACATACAAAACTCTGAATATCACATCAAACACAGAAATCAACTCAAAATGGACTCAAAATCTAAATGTGATTGCTAAAGCTATAAAGCATGGGATAAAAACATCAGAAAAAATTTCTTAGTTAATACAGATTGGGAGAAAATATTTTTAAATATCTGGTTAAGTATTTGTATCCCGAATATGTAAAGAAGTCTTAAACTTCAATAATTAAAGTCAATAACCTAATTTTAAAATGGACAAACAATTTGAATAAACATTTCACCATAGAAGAGCCACACATTGCTATTATTCATATGAAAAGGTTCTCAACATCATTAGTCACTAGGGAAATACAAATTAAAACTATAATGAGACACCTCTTTACAGCTACTGGGTATCTACAATAAAAAGACAATGACAAATGTAAGTGACAATGTAAATAAATTTTATACATTGTGAGTGGGAATGTAAAATAGTGCAGCCACTTCAGAAAACAATTAGAAAGTTCCTTAAAAAAATAAACATGACTGACCACAGAACACCCCAACTTCAATGTTAAATATCTACTCAGGAGAAATGAAAACATAGCCACACAAAGACTTGCACTGAAAATGTTTACAGTAGCATTATTTACAATTGCCAAAAATTGAAAACAACTTACATAGTGAATGGATGAACAAAATGTATTCTGTTCATACAATGAAATATTATCCAGCAATGAAGAAAAAGAAAATATTGATATATGCTGCAACATGTGTGAACTACAAAAATCTTATACTAACTGAAACACTGTACTGTGGAGTCAGTTCCCACTCATAGTGACCCTGCCCAGGGTTTCTGAGGCTGCA